TGGATTGAGGTAGTGCAGTGTGCAGCTATTCCAGGTCCAAAGGACTTGCTCCATTCTTGGTTCTTCTTTCATAATGGTAGTGGGATCCCCACTCGTACTTCGGAGATGGCTCATTTTATACTCAACAGGATGGCAAAATTGACCGATCCCCACATTAGAATTCCTAGTGTTCACAATCACAGTCATGTTAACAATCACTCACAGTGAGGAAGCATCAGACACCCTCACGTTGGGGAACATCCAACATAGTAGCCAGCCTATACTCTTCAAAAAAAAAAAACCTGCAGGCCGACAAAGTCAGGGAAAGACTGAGTAGCTATTCCAGAGTTATTGTTGTTGTTAAGTGCTATCGAGTCGGTTCCAACCCATAGCGACCCTGTATAGGATTTCCAAGGAGCAGCTGGTGAGCTTGAACCACTGACCTTGCAGTTCAAACGGCTTTGCACTCTGGCGCATTAACCCACAATGCCACACCAGGACTCTGTTTCCAGAGTATAGGAGACTAAAGGTGTATAAAAACGAATACCAGTGCATGATCCTGAATGGGCTAATTTACTGTAAAAGAATTGAATAGGACAGAAGAAGGTAAAACTTGAGTGTGAGGACTGAGGATGAATAATGTGTTAGTATGCACCTTCTGTTGTTGATGGTGGTCATATGGTTATAGAAAGAAATGTCTTCATTTGTAGGAAACATCCACTAAGTGTTTGGAGGTGCTGGCAATTTGCACTGTGTCTTAGTTGCATAGTGCTGATGTAACAGAAATAGCACGAGTAGGTTACTTTAAAGAACAGATGCTTTCTTTATCACACTTTTGGAGACTCTTAAGTCCAAGTCAAGAATTCATCGATGTCAGCACTGGAAGTGTTCCTTTGCCTCCCTTGATTTGTCAGATGATCTTCATGGTCTTCTTCCGTGTGTGTGTCTGTCTACTCGGATCTGTTTATAACTCAGAGATGGTAAGATTTTGTATCTAGCCTACACTATGATGACCAAACAGGACTGCAACTGCAGGTACAGGGACCAGGAATTCAATGTATATTTTGGAGTGGGGATGGGGGCATAATTCAATCCATAACACCCTAATGGTTCAGAAAATTCTGAAGTACTTCATACTGTACTTACACCTTTTCTGAAAGTTTGAAATTATTTAAAAAGCAAAAAAGCAGAAGGCCCAGATACTTTTATAGTCAAGTCTCTCCCAGCAGTCCGAGATAAGATAATTCCCATCTTATATAAATTGTCGCAGATAATAGAAAACAGAGAACACTCCCCACTCATCATATGAAACTAGACACTCTTGACACCCAAAGTAAAAAAAATATATAGTATTATAAATGAAAACACAGGGTGATATTACTTATGAAATGCACTTAAAAAGTTGTAAGAATAATGTGAGAAAGCCAAATATAACAATGAATTCAAGATAATAATCATGGTCAAATTATACTATATGAGAAATGCAAGAATGGTTTTAAAAGTTTGCTAATGCAATTTTTCATCTTAACATTTTCAAAGGTAAAAGCCATTTGATCGCCTTAATAAATGAAAAATTGAAAGAAAAAGACTTGATAGGATTCAAAACCCATTCGTAATAAAAACTCATACATACCTGAGAACAGGTCCTGGTGTGGCACTGCAGGATCAGCACTGGACTGCTAAGGTTAGCAGTTCAAACCCATCAGCTGTTCCTTGGAAACCCTATTCATGGTCGCTATGAGTCGGAATCGACTTGACAGCATTTAACAACAACAACAACCTGAGAAGAAAACGGGACTTGATAAACAGTACTAATGGAAAGCCCACTGCAAACATCACACTTGATGAAACATATTCTTTTGAAAATTAGGGACAAGATAAAATGACTCATGATTGCTTTTATTTAACATTTCATTGGCTGTTCTTCAGTAAAACAAGAAATGAGCAAAAAGTAAATGAATTTGAGCAATCCTTGAATAATATGAAAAAGAGTTTACAGAGAAAAGTTCAAGAAAATCTACAGATTATTGAAGTAAAAAAGGAAATTCAACAACATTATTTGTATAAAATCAATATGTAAAATGCAGTTGCATTTGTATACACTGGCAAAATTAGAAGAGGTAATTTTAAGAAAGACTTAATTTATAAAACCAGACAAGACTCATCAAAATATGTATATGCAAGACCTATATGGAAAAATTATAAAATTCAGTTGAAAGGCTCTTGGTGTCTAAAGCTGGAACATTTTGAGCAACAAAATAAATAACATAGCATTGGATTATAACTCAATGCATAAAATAAATATTCATGAGCCCGTTGCTGTTAGGTGCTTTCGAGTTAGTTCCAACTCAGGGCGACCTTATGCACAATAGAATGAAATACCATTCTGTGCCATCCTCAAAATTGTTGTTATGTTTGAGCCCATTGCTGCTGCCAATGTGCCAATCCATCTTGTTGGGGGTCTTCCTCCTTTTCACTGACCTTCCACTTTACCAAGCATAGTGTCCTTCTCCATGGACTGGTCCCTTCTGATTAGTCTATACTAATATAAATAAATGACTGAATAAGTTAATATGATAAATAATCTCATATGGAAGAATTCCAAATAATTTATGTAGGTATTTCCCTCTCAAGGGGCACATGACTGACTAACTCTACACCCTTAAACATAAAATAAATTTAGAGACTTGCTTCCAAAGGGAACAGTGTCAGAAAGGAGGAGAGAAAGTAAGTATCTTTACAGCAGAGAACATTGACAATCACTGCCTTAGACAGGTGGCTGAGGTTAATGTCATCAGTGATACATCATGTTGTTAACATGAAACTTTGAGATGATATGCATAGGCCTTCCTCCTCAAATCCCTTAAGTATAGTCTAACCTTGAGAAAAACATCAGATGAACCCAAATTGAAGGACATTCACAAAATACCTGGCCAGCGCTTCTCAAAATCATCAAAGACAAGTTGAGTCTGAGAAGTTGTCAAAGCCCAAAGGAGCCTAAGGAGACATGACAACTTAATGGGATATGGTGTCCTAGATGGAATCTTGAACAGAAAAAGGACATTCAGGGGGAAAAAAAAAAAAAAAGAATGAAATCTGAATCCAGTCTGTTATTGTTATTTGTTGCCATTGAGTTGGCCCTCCAAAGGACTGAACCATTTGTGATCCATAGGAGTTTCAATGCCTGGCTTTCAGAATTAGCTGGCCAAATCTTTCTTCCTACTCTGTCTTTTCCTGGAAATGCTGCTAAAACCTCTTTGGCATCGTAGCAACACACACACCTCCACTTGCAGATCAGTAGTGGCTTGACCAGAACTCAAAGCCTGGTCTCCTGTGCAGAAGGCAAGATTTCTGCCACTGAAATGCCACTGCCCCTGAAAATAATGTTTGGAGCTTAGTTATTTAAACAACGAAAAGGCATAAAACAGACATAAATAAGTGGGGACATATTTTATCCGGGATGGGAAAGCTCATTCGATAAAATTATCAGTTCAACTCAAATTATACTATACCTTCAGTGCAGTTTAGATCAAAAATCCCTTAAGTGTGTGCTTAGAATTCAGCAAGTTGATTCCCAAGTTCACATGGAAAAGCAAGTCTGCAGGAAAAGGATAGGAGGACAACAAAAGAATAAGGACAGTTCTTTCTACCTGTTGTTCAGGGTTATTATAAAGCTTTTGTTTTTTGATTAATTCTAATCAATGCTTGAAAGCGTCAGTGCTGGAAAATACTGGGAATCCAGGGAAACAGAGTCAGTTGCTGTGGTTGGAAGGAGTCTGTGTGTAGATGTGGATAATGTTGTAGATTTGATAGAAAGAAGTTGAAGGAGTTCCTTTCTGATGCCATCTGTTTCCTCTGTGAATTAATAAGTAAGATTATCTGTTTGAGATGGTTGAGTTTAGACTAGAGAAAATTATATGGCGTCTTTCAGAGAATGATAGTTTGGCTTGCCTAGAATACCCTAATGGAGTCCTAGTGGGCCTCTGTAGGATACGGTCGGCAGTTCAAACCCGCAAACCACTCCTTGGAAACCCTAAACAGGATCATTGTGAGTTGCAACTGACTCAACAGCACTTAGCAACAACAACAACAAGAAGATAGCATAATAAGGTTGCTGGGAATCGTAAGGTTCAGCTGAGTGGGCACCAGGCTTTCATCTTTCTTTGGTACTCAGTATCATACTTTGGACATATTGTCAGGAGGGAACAGTTGCTGGAAAAGGATGTCATGCTGGGTGAGGTGGAGGGTCAGAGAAAAAGAGGAAGACCCCCAATGAGATGGATCGGCCAGGTGGCATCATTGATGGCATCAAGTGTGGTGGCAGCGGTAGTGAAGTTGGCCCAAGATAGGACATTGTTTCGTTCTGCTATACATGGGGTTACTATGAGTCAGTTCCAACTCCATGGCATCTGACAACAACAACAACAACAACATCCCTAATGAAGGCCAAGAGAGATGGGTAATTGGATTAATTTAGGATGAGAGTTTTGTCAGGTAGATGAGGTAAGAGGGCAAGGGAGATTATCCTGGTGGCCAAAGTGATAGACCATGGACGCTGAACTGTGTAGGGAATAAAGTGACTCGAGGTAGACATAGGATTAAGAGCTGTGCTTTGGGATCTCAGAGCTGCAAATACATATTTGTCTCCAACACAAGAGGTAAGCTCTTAAAAAGTATGGATTCTTTTCTGTTCATCATTGTGTCTACCACATTCGGCATAATAGCTAACTCATAATAAGTTGTCCACACATAATGGTTGAATTAAGTAATGGTTTGAGACTGCTCCTTGAAGGCCATAGTTTAGTTCACCTACAGCTTTCTCCAGGCAAAATGAATCCTGATTTTAATTTTTTCTCACTGGTTCGATGTCTCTCAATTTTGCTTCGTTCTCAGAACATTTTTTAAAGTTCTTCCCCCATGGAATTTTCCACAGTAGCCTCTCTAGTGAACAGTTTTGTTTTTCTTTCCTTTTGCAGACTTGTTTGTTTGATTCGCATCTCATTTCTTTTCTAGCCAATTTAATTCAGGGGATGAATTCTGATGACCCTGTCATGCAGCAGAAAGCTGTCCTGGAGACAGAAAAAAGACTACTGCTTACTGAGGAAGACCAAGAGGAAGACAAATGCAGGACCACCTTGAACAAGACCATGATCAGTCCCCCACAAGCTTCTCTGAAGGTTTTCTTTGTCTATTACGGAGACGCACAATCAGATACAGTGAGGGGGCTGGGGCTTTGTGTTGAGCAGAGGGAGAACTAGTTTAATCGCAAACTGTCTGGTGAGGCTGAAATAGTCTTTTTGTTTCTTAGATTCACTACATTTATTTTCCACAAGGAAATATAAACTCTCTCTCTCTTTACTTTGGTCTTTCTGGGTCACCTTTAAGCAACCATTTGGGCCTGTTTTATTGACAATCTGATCATTCACCTCCCTGAGCGTATGACCTTTATTCAAAGGTAATATACTCTCCAAGTTCGTATTCCCAGTGCATACAACCACAGCTGGGCCTCTTGATCTGAGAACCCTTCTTCAGACTGAGCCTGTATCCAATCTTTTTATTTAAATCAACTCCATAGAATTTGGGGCTCTGCAGTATCAGTGGACGAAGGAGGTGACCTGACCCCTCACTTACAATTGGTTTGCCTTCTTGGGTTGTATGCTATATCAGTCAGACAGAGGTGCTAAAAATATGCTTCTTTGTTTTTATGATAACCTGTAACCTGCAGAGCCCAGATGAAATGAACTCAGGTAAGAACAGAAGCTCTCTTCCCAATGTATATTATTTATCAAGGATCCATTTCTTACTGACTGTAGCTTCCAGACCCTTAAATTATAGCCTCGGGGATACCCACATTCCATGAGCAAAATCCTACTGATCACCCCATTCTGTTGCCAGTGATCCCAGAGGACGGCACCTAAAGGCATTTCTCTACTAATTTATTTCCTGGCTAGTTGTTTGTAAACTGAGCTCAGTTATTCTTTACTGGTTAGTTTACTCATAGTTGCTCAGGGGATCTAGATAGTTCTGGTGTTGCTCAGCTAAGCAGCTCATTAGGTTAAATGTGGTGGTTAAGTGGCATTGAATAGGTTTTGACTCATAGTGACCCTGTAAAGGGTTTCTGAGGCTGCAAATCTTTATGGAAACAGAAAACCTCATTGTTCTCCCATGGAATGGCTGGTGGATTCGAACTGTTAACCTTGCAGTTAGTGACCCAAAGCATAATCCACTATGCTACCAGAGTATAACAGTGCCACACAAGGACTGTTCCTCCCCCCACAAAAGTCTCTCTTCAGAGGGAAGTTCTTTAAAAAGGCATAATTCTAATTTGAAGTCCCATCATAGCCATCATGTATAATAATAATACAGCAATAATACATATTGCCATTTAATGTCAGATTAAGAACATGTCATCAAATTGTCTCATGACGAGTGTGTGTGTGTGTATATGTGTGTGTATGTATGTGCTTGTGTGTTTGTGCTCCCACCTGTGCAGTCCTAAAGCTTTCAACTAGCTTGCTTCTGAGTTTGAGCTATAGAACTGATTATAATATTTGGATTTTTTTTTTAATATTTAAAATTTCTCTGCTGTCAGAGGCCTTCTTGGTATCCTTAGAGAAAGATGCAAAGGAACGAGCCAAGAGGAGACAGGAAAACAAAATCTTCGCTGATGGTAATCACCAGTCTTCCCTTTTCAGTGTCTGGGATAATTTGTGCTAACAGAGCATGTGAGGCTCTGTGCTGATGCCTGAGGACATCAGGATTCCTGGTGGGTGGGTTTGTGATGGCCTTGAGGCAGTAGGACCTGGCTTGGGCTATCACTGGTGGTCTGCTCTCTGCTCTTGTTGCAACAGCAGGAAGCAGGACCTAAGCCTTGGTCATCCTCCACAGCCTACCTTCTTTCTAAAGCAAGGAATTGACTTAGAAGACCAGATTTAGGTACTTCTTTCATTCCAAATGTTATGAGCAGTACTAAACAATGCTTGGGAGGTAAGAAGGGATCGAGCGGGAAACTACTGTCTAAGCCTAAGGAATAGGTGAAGAAACAGGAAAATAAAACAAGAGAACAAAGATGTGAGAAGGGAGAAGAGAAAAAAACAAAAACAAACAAAAAAAAAAATGGGAAGTGGGAAGTGGGGAGATGAAGTTAAAGGGTGAAGCTGCATTTGAAAAGAGAGAACTTTGAACATTTACCATCTACCTCCGAATAGAACATGTGCTACGAATCTGGCTCCATATTTGTTAGACATACCTTAGGGGACATTGAATGTGTAAGCTTGGTCTTTGAATGTGTAAACTTGGTGTTTGTGGCAAGCTTGGAGTGGTTTTTGCCCTTGAGGCAGAAACATTTCTTTTTTTCCTGAGAAAATACTTATAAGACTTGGGAGTTGGTTTGGAGGGAGAAAAAAATATGTAAATAAAGAAGCCACTCCTGTCATAGCTGCAGAGAAAAACAAGTGACAAGTCCCCTTTGGATTCATGGAAGCTAAGACCTTCAAAGTAGCAGAGTTGGAGGTGTTCAGGGAAATACAGTCTGAAATCATTCCCCAGTGCATGTATTCTCACCTGTTTGACGTTTCTTCTCCTAGCCCAAAAGGAAAAAGGAAACGAAGCATTTGCCAATGGTGATTATGAAACAGCTGTCCTGTATTACAGTGAGGGCTTGAAGAAGCTGAAGGACATGAAAGTGCTGTATACCAACAGAGCCCAGGTCAGGGAGCCAAGAATGTGTTCATGGGTTGTTTTAGGTGGCCACTAAACTTGTGAAAGCACAGAAAGACAATGGTAGATGGTGGTGTGCTGGTAATTTAATGACCAGCCCCTGTCTGGGGCATGGGAGGAGCTGATGGGTATATTGTTGCTGTTAGTTGTTGTTGAGTTGGTCTCTACTCATGGACTACACAGCACAACATTGCCTGGGCCTCTGCCATCCTTATGACCCTAGCCTGCTCTAGTCCATTGTAGATGTCACTGTGTGTTTGGAGTGACTTCCAATCTAAGGAGCTCATCTTCCAGCTCTATATCAGACAGTATTTGGATGTGACCTACAGAGTTTTCATTAGGGAGTCCTGATATGGTGCTGTGGGTTAATGTGCCAGTCTGCAAAGCTGTTTGAACTGCAAGGTCAGTGGTTCAAGCTCCCCAGCTGCTCCTTGGAAACCCTGTACTGGCTAGCTATGGGTCAGAGCCGACTCGACGGCACGTAACAACAACAACAAGGGTTTTCATTGACTAAGTTTCAGAGGTAGGCCACCAGGTGTTTCTTCTTGGTCTGTCTGAGTCTGAAAGCCCCATGATGGGTAATCCTACTAGAATTTGAAATCCCAGTGCCACAGCTTCCAGCTTCACAGCAACACCTAAACCACTATAGTATGGCCAACTGACAGACAAGTGGAGAGATTTGTCTGTATGGTTTGTAATTGCCATGAGATCTGATTTCCAGCTACCAACTAGCAGTCATTGAAGGAGGAGTTGGGAAGAACTGTACTTAGCTGGCTATTTTGAGAGGCTAAGTCTGCACAGCACATCACTGCTGGTATCCAGGCACTTTTGCATGTGGATCAAGAAAAAAATAATGGAATTAAATCACCTAGGAGAGGATTCTTTGCTGGTTGCTGGGATGTCAGGGGTGGGATGAGGGGAGGGAGGGGAAGGTGGAGCACAGGGCAGGGAATAGACACAGGATAGTTTGGGTGCTGGGGAGGGGGGCAATATACAAGAAGGGAGAGGG